AATAAAGAGGAAGATGAGGAGGAAGTAGATGAGGAAGATGGATATGAAGTTGAAGATGAAGTGGAAGAGGAAGAGAAAGAAAAAGAACATGATGAAAATAGAGATTGAGACGGAGATAGTGATGAAGAAGGAGAAGATGATGAAGATGGAGATGAAGATAAAGATGACAATGAAAAAAGAGAAGGAGATAGAGATGAAGATGAAAATTAAGATGGAGAAGGAGATGGAGATTGAGATGAAGATAAAGAAGAGGAAAAAGATGAAGATGAAGAAAGAGATGGAGATGGAAATGAAGATGAAGAGGGAGATGGCGATGGAGATGGAAATGAGGATTTAGATGAAGCAGATAGAGATGAAGGACGAAAAAAAAAACAAAAAACACGCAGACGTTTCCACTACCGTTCGTGATCATAATTTGATTTTTATTTATTAAATGTTGCCTGCTCTTCTCTGCCTTAGTTGCTAGCTGTCTTATCTCTTATCTCCTTGTGATAACGCGTCTTATTGATACTTTCATTAGTATAGGTTCAAAATCATGTCAAATTACCATTACTGCGACTATACTCATCATTATCTTTACCGTTATGATCATTATTATTACTGTCATAATCGTAAGTATTACTATGATCATGATTATTATCATTATTATTATTACTATCAAAATCATTACCATTATCATTGTTATCATTATTTTCATCATAACTATTACAGTTATTTTCATCATTAGCATTATATTCATGATCATTATTATATTCATCATTATTATCATTATTGAATCTTTATCATGATCATTATTATTACTATTATTATTATCATAATTATTTGCATTCGTTATTGCTATTGTCGTCTTCATTGTTATCATACCGTTATCATTATTATTAACACCATTTGACATGTCCCGCAGACATTGATGGTTATTTGTTTGTTCACAGCGCGTCTTACTGCACAGCGGTGACAGAAACCAACCGCGTCACACCCAACAGCGAAATGATGGTTCCCTATTCAGTGATCTCCCTGTCTCCTGTACAGCTTCTTTTTCTAATCTTATTTTTTTTCAATTAATTATTTATTTATTTTTTTACTTTTTTATCGTCGTCATCTTCTTGAGTTCTCAGATGTCAGATTCCTCCAAAGAACGTTGCTACTGTCCAGCATCACGCTCTTTCATAGCAACCGAGTTGGCATCGCGGTGATACTAATCAACTTCCTAGATTTTCTGTCTAATGCTTAAGCCTCCTCTTTCCTCTAGTCCACTTTGCTTGTATGGCACCTGATAACTGGTTCTGACCAAATATTTACGTTGATGTGAGTTCTGCCCACACCCATAATAAGTAGCCTTTCTCATTTTTTCCATGTCTTTGTGCTTTATGTTATGATCTAATATTCTTTGCCTTCAACTTTTACCTATTTCTATATGGGGTTACTCATTCAAGTCAGCCTTCTCCATACTCTCCTGTCCTGTACATCTTGTTCACTTACTCTTTTTCCTTCGTATAATTTAATATACTACTTTGACCTTTCCCTGTTCTCGTCCCTTCCTTTTCCGTGTTCATGGCCCATTTACATACATAATCATTTTCTCTTCTTATGACGTTTTTTGCTCTTTATTTGCATTTTCCAGGCTAACATTTTTCTCAGATTTATTCCTGTCGTAGGTTGCCCCTGCTTCTTTTTCGTCTTGGGTGTTTAGGATCCACCAGCAGTTCTCCTCACATGGTGGTTCTCTACCAGATGTCTTCCCTAATAGTTCTTCTGCTGTTATGAGAATCTTTGTGCTATTTTTATCCACCAGGTGATCACATCCTCTGCCACCTAATGTTCCAAAGATCTACTTCCCTAAGTCTCTCTCTAGTCTCTTGCTCATCTTATTGCCGTCATTTTGGGTTGGGCTTTCTCTTTCCCCCTGTCTAAATCCTGTCAAGAAATCTGACACCACTAGCCTGTGCTACGTGCTAACACTCTCTCCTTTAATGATGTTACATTTTTTCCAATTCTTAAATTGGTCACTTCTGCACATTAGAAAATCTATGTCTTACTTCACTACTGTATGTCGCATAGTCATCACTTGTGAAGATGTTTATTGCCATGTCAAATGCCACTGCAAATTCTATTATCGACTCTCCTTCCTCTTTCATTCTCGTCTCCACTAGATTGCAACTTCTAACCACTGGCAATATCCTTTGCTTTGTTTCCTCTCTTCTTGTTTCCTGCACATATAGAATATCCACTTTTCTTCTCTCCACAACGTCTGACACTTCCTTACTTCGAACAGTCACGCTGCCAACATTCAAAGTTCCAATCCTTTTCGCTTGGACTTGGGCGAGACCTCTGTACACTGCATGAACAGGGAACGCCTAGGCCTTGTACTAGTAACTGTTCATGGTTCATATTCATGGCTTCTCTTCATGTCTTTCTTGCTACCAACTCTTACCATTTACCCGGGATTGGGACCGGCATAGAGTTCTGCTAATGTATTGTATGCTGGTCTGGCAGAATAACCCTTCTCAAGTTAATCATCCTTACTATCTCTAAACTTTTACTCCGAATTCCATCGTGATGTTTGACGTTCTTCTTGCATTTTCCAGAAAAAGTTTGATATCAGAATCATCGGAAATGCGGCGCAGGGGAGGCAACGCATCTTCTTGGTTCCTACCTTAATTGCGATTTCTGCCAAGGTCTTGCCAACTGCTGTTTGCTGTTTCCTTTATAATCATTACGGCGTTAGCGTATTAAAGGTCAAGACAGCAACGAGTGCAGTAACATGTCAAAGGCTTTGTAGTCAGTCCAAGTTGTGCATAAGTTTGTTCTTTTCTTACCATTTTTAAAATTCATCAGTCATCAGCCTTGGCTCTTCCTTCTGCACCCTTTTGTTCAGGTTTTACAGTTGTACTGCTCTTCATTAACCATCCATTAGTTCTATCCTTCTGAATAAATGCTGTTTGCATCCTTTCTTGATTTTTAAAGCACATGCACATTTCCTTCCTCACGCTAGCTCAGACGCCCAACGGGTTGGCCGCTGACCAACACGATGAACAGTTTAGCCACGCCCCCTTGTTGGTCGCCTCTTACGTGCTGCTTGGTGGGCGTTGGTAGAATTCTTATACCCCTTCAGAGGGTATCATTACCATTACCGTTATCATTAATCATCTACATCAGTATTATCCTTTTTTCCGTAATTAGGATCATTATAATAATTACATTACCAGTATTGTTATTACTATTACTGTTACTATCATTAATACTATTATCATTATCATAATTATTATTGTTATGAACATCAGATCATCAACAGCATTGCTATCATTATTATCAGTTTTTTGTTATTATGATCATTCACATTATTGTTATTACCACTGCTATTATTAGTATTACCATTATTATTATTACCTCCCGCAAGTTTTTTTTTTATAGCGTTGGTTATTTTTAACTGAGGTGTTTCTTAGCCTAACTTAGATGTCATTATATGTCGGTGGTGATCCGATCATGATCCGGATCCAAGATAAAAAAAAAAAAAAAAAAAATAGCAATCCGAGACAGGGGAACACGGACATCACCATTGTAGTAGAAAAAAAGAAGTGATTTTTATATTATTCTTCAAGCGTGGGTGTTTTCATTGCATCAGTGACCCAATTGCCTTGGCGGAGCTATGCGGTCTCTGAGCGCTTCTAGTTATTGTTATTATTCTTATTGTTATTATTATTATCATCATCATTATTATTGTCATTATTATCATCATTATCATTATTATCATCATTATTGTTACATTTCATCATTACCATTTTTGCAGTCATCATTATTATCAATGTCATTCTTGTTGTGGATGTTGTAGTTGTTGTTATTATCATTATCATTATTCTTATAATCATTAATTTTTATTCCTATAATCATCATTTTTATTATCATTGTTGAAATCATCATTAACATTGTCATTATCGCTATGATCATAATTTATTAATATCATTATCACAATTGGCGTCGTTATCATTATGTTGTCACTATCATTATTATTATAATTGTTATTTTTATCATTATTATTATTATCATTATCATAGTTGTTATTGTTATTATTATTATTAGTAGTATTATCATCACTATTATTATAGTTCAATTTTTATTATCATTACTGTGATCATTATCATTATCAGCATCATGTTATTTCTCTTATTATCATTATCATTATAAGTGAATATTCTTCTTCTTCTTCTTCATATTATTATTATTATTATTATTATTATCATGTTCATCATCACCCTCACCACCATCAATCTCGCTTTCGCGCACTTACCATACAGCTTGTACAAGAAGTCCACCTGAGCCTTGTACTTGAGGCTCGCAGGAACTCCTCCTTCCGCGGCGCAGGTTTCCACCGCCTGGCCGCCTGAGACGTCGTCGACCCATCTTGAGGAGAGGAACAGGTCCATCTCTGTGGGCGGGGGAGGTGGGCGGAGTCGAGATGGGCGAGGGCGGTGGAAGCGTGAGGATGCAGTGCGATACGGGTGGGTGGAGGTGGATATATTGTTAGGCTGGTAGATAGAGCTAATAGATAAGAGTGATGGATGGGTAGGTAGCTATCGTCTGTTCACTTGACTCTGCTATCTGGAGCCTAGAGACGTTTTGAAACAAGGTTGCTGATTGGTCGGTGAAACTCTGAAGGTCGTTTAAATTTCATGGTTTTTATTTTATTAAAAGGTATCTAAGTAAGCAAATAAACAATTTAGATGTAGAATTATTTTCGAAGCTAAACAAGGAAAAAGATTAACGGAAATGTAGGTTAGTATTTGTTCTTCCATAATAATAATAACAGATACATTGATAATGATTATAAAAATAACAACGATAAATGATAATGATAATGATGATTATGGAAATGATGATAATAATGATAATGATAATAATGATAATGATTATGAGAATAATGATGATACTAATGATAATGATTATGAGAATAATGATGATACTAATGATAATGATGATAATAAAGATGATAATAATAATGATAG